GTTTGGATAAGCTTGTTCGATCGGATCAGATTGGGTCGAATGGGGCAAGTTTTGCCGACTAATAGCATCTCGTTGTGCTTGAAATGTGATTTAAAAACAAAATAAAAGCAAAAACATGAGAAAAATGAAGCGAAAAACAAGAAAAGGAATAAGAACACACAAAAAAATCCAGCAAGTTTTGTTTCTACTTTTGTCATTTATACGACAATTCTTTTAGTTGCAATCACTTTTGTGGTTGAAATTGAATTTTCCATTGCCCATTCCTCTTCGTTCCTCAATCGCATCAAAAATAGATCTGGCAATGTCTTCACTGTAATTCCTATAACGAATTTAGTCTTACAATTCGCCGAAGCTTTATATTTCTTATATGGTCTTATATGAATGCCTCAGAATAAATGCTGAACTTTACTACCAAAAATAAAAATGTAAACGAGTTTTCAGGTTTTGAGTTGAAGAAATCTATACTTTATTTATGTTGTCTTATTAGAGAAAAACAAGCATTGTCGTTTGCACATCAGAGCCACTAATACAAATACACATTCCTTTTTGTTAACGCTGCGTTGATAATACCACGATAATTCCAATGTTCAAAGGAAAAGTGTTTTTACGAGGGTTGCTCCATAATTTTTTTTAAAAACATATATAACACAGTTGTTTTTTGTCGAAAATGGTTTTATTGTTTTTCAAAATATTCCCCGAGATGATCGATACACTTTTGCATTCGATGAAACCATTTGTCATAGCATTCGTGCCACTCCGAAACTGATATCTCCAAAACGTGTGTTTTGAACGCTTCAACTGCTTCTTCTGGTGTCGAAAATCGTTGACCACGTAGTTTTTTCTTCACGCTTGGGAACAAAAAAAAGTCATTGGGTGCCAGGTCAGGACTGTACGGTGGATGACCCATCAGTTCGATGTTTTGACCGGTCAAAAATCGAGTAGTTTGAAAAGATGTGTGAGAGCTCGCATTATCGTGATGAAGAATTATTTTGCGACGGTGGTTGTTTTTTCTTATTTCACCAAACACTTCGGGCAAACAAATGGTGGTATACCAATCAGAATTGACGGTCTTACGATCCTCTAGTGGAACGGTTGCCACATGACCACTTCTCCCGAAAAAACAGGCGACCATTCGCTTCGAAGTGCTTCTTGCTCGAACAAATTTCGTTGGGTTATCTTCATTTTGGAAGACCCATACAGTCGACTGCTGTTTCGTTTCGGGCTCATAGGCATATATCCACGATTCGTCACCAGTGACGATTTTATTAACGTCTTTTGAAGCACCACGATTGAATTTCTTGAGCATTTCTTTACACCAACTCACACGAGCCATTTTTTGTTCATCGGTCAATTTATGTGGGATCCAACGAGAGCAAATCTTTTTTACGGCTAAATGTTCATGCAAAATTGTATGTATGCTGTGGGATGAAATGCCCAAAGATGCCTCAATCTCACGGTAGGTCACATGACGATCTTCCATAATCAGTTTTCTGACAGCATCGATGTTTTGTGGCACAACAGCCGATTTTGGACGACCTGTATGAAACTCGTCTTTGAGCGAACTACGACCGCAACGGAATTCTCGGTACCAGTTATAAATTGTCTGAAGGGTTGGTGCTTCATTGCCAAAGGCCAAATGAAGTCGATCGAAACACTGTTGTTGAGATAATTTACTTCGAAAATCGTAGTAAATCATTTTACGAAAATCTTCACGTGTAAAATTCATTTTTTTGTTGAGTCGCAGTTTACCAGTCACTGTAAACAATACAAATAGCGTTCGTACGACAAAAGGTTCAGGGCACGAATACATACCAAAACATCAAACTTTACGAATATGACAATGGTTTACATCGGGCAACACTATAAGTACCATTTTAAAAAAAATTATGGAGCAACCTACGTATGCTCGACGAATTAAAAATGTGACTTCCATGAACAACTAATGTCCAGCATTTATTCTGAGAAGGTCATATGTAATATGGTTTAGGTGAGCGTACACCGTACACCGTACTTGCATTCCGATTGGGGTGAGCGAGTGAGCGTAAACGCATACAAACATACACTAGCATCCATTTGTTACAAAGTTTATGTTCGTTAAACTCTTAAAAAATATACTCGAAAAAACGTTGGAAGTAAGCAAAATCTTGGTAATAAAAAAACTGCAGCAACGGAGATTCGGAAAAATAGCATTAAACATCGAATGACGTTATTATGAGAAAAATTGTGAAAAATGCACAATACAAAAGTTAGATTAAATCAGAAAGAGAAAACAGAACCGAAAAAAATGCAACAATAATCTCTCGTTCTATCTGAGCGTGTATATAGAAAGTACGCTGTTGTATGTGGTAGAAAACAATGGGGCGAAAAGTATTGAAAATTGTGAATTTATATGATGGTTTGCTTATGGGGACCTCATTGACGACTTTAACAGCGGAGATGAAAAAATGCACTTGAACGAAAACTAAAGCTGTGTACAACTTTTATCTGGCAAAAAAGTTTTGAACTTGTTTTCAAATAAATCGCTTGCACCGTTACCATGATTATAGTCAAGATAGCGAGAGAAATGAAGATCCTTACCCGTCCTTACCACAGTGCAAAATAATGTCATTGTTCAGTTTCTTATTATTTTTAGTATGCGCGCAGTATGCGAGTATCTGCTGCTCATTTATTTTATCACATTTCGCTGTGAGCCACTTTCTCGCTCTCGCTCTCGCCCGCCTTCAACTTTAGTTACACGGAAAATGTTGGATGATATTCCCATCGCAAAAATTTATAAAATAATCCACGGCTTACATTGGCTTTTATTCACTACCACGTCATCTGCAATCAATCCACTTGCATTTCAACACTGAGTGGTTTTTGCCATGCTTCATATTCACGAGTGTATACACGTGCAAAACGCCACGTCATCAGCAAACACTTCAAAATCTCTTTAAATTGAACCAATGACGGTTCATCACAACAACATTGCATCACTCTTACCGCTAATAGATAATAATAATTCAGCAGATGTATGAATTCCAGTATTACACAAATCTCCTCGAATTTTTTAATGTGTTTCTATCACATTGACTAAATCTACTGATTGCGTTCCCAAAATCTGACGATTAATAAATTTAATTAGTATACACATGTGCATCTATTATGAACAATTATGAAAGTTGTTTATTATTCACTTTTCAGATATCGGCGGAAAAAATCGATTGTGATTTTTGGCTAAAAAAAGTCAATGGATTACATTTCGATGACAATTCCCATATGAAACTGTTTTCAACATTTCGTTTATTTTGTGCATGTGTTTTGCGTGTTTTGTGTGCTTTTCCATGAAAATTGAGAAAAAATGATAAAAAATACATTTGTTAAAGATCAACCTGATTCTGATATATCAATGAAAAACAAACTTAAAAATTCCAAGTATAGCATATGGTTTTTTTTTATTCCTATAGAAATTATATATATGTATAAATCTATTGAATAAATCGAGAAGAGAGTATGTTATAGCTGAGTAATGTCTGAATAAAAACATATTTAATCGCCTCTCGATATTTTCAATAGAAACGTAAATGTTCAAATGACAAAAAAATGTTTTGGAAAACTCGGTTTATTACAGATTCATTTGTTTCCAAACCGAAAAAATTAGGTCAATATAGTTGCTGAATTTGTTTCCATACTATACCAATATTAGTGATGCAATCGATACCCAATTTAGGTGCATAAATAAAAACGCATTGATTTTTTTTTTCATATTTTGTGTCGAAATGAAGTTCAAAATGACTGTATTTATTTAGAATGGTGCACATTTTGTGGTGTATGCAGAAATAATAGGCTTCATTTGTATCAAATTTCAAGCGTTACAAAAACTGATAATTTTCAGTATTTGTCGATGAGATTGAAAATTGTTTAAAAAAATTCAAATGCCGCCTTCACTTATGAACGTTTTGTTCATTCTCAATAACTCAAATATGTATTTTTTTGCAAATATTCAGCTTAGTTCTTTTTAATTTGCGATTTAAATGAAAACATTATCCAACAATATCATTCTGAAATATGAAACTCATCAAATAATTATTGGAAATCTGTATGAAAGCGTAAATTAATATGGTGTGTTAATTGATAGCATTATGAATAAATAAAATCGTATATGAAGGAAGGAAGTTATAAAATAATCTACAGTCCATATTGGCTTTTATTTACTACCAAATCGTCTGCAATCGATCCGATTTCTTTTCAATACACACAAAAAACTCCTAACCTCAGTATGAAACGATTTTGACATTTTGAATTGTACATATTTTGTACATTTTTCTACAATATACTTCGTTATAATAATATGGATAGTTAAAAAGTTGGCCATTATCGGCGAATTCAAAAACTGCTATAAAAATTGGACTGGGTAAAATTTGAGTACTCGATTGAAATTTTGCAAATCTAAATACAGATTTGAATTGTACATATTTTGTACATTTTTATACAATATACGTTGTTATGATAATATGGATGATTAAAAAGTTGCCCATTCGCGGCGAATTCAAAAACTGCTATAAAAATTGGACTGGGTGAAATTTGGGTAGTACGAACGACGCCGAGGCTATTCAATCCGACGCTGACCGGTCTCCGACCGGTTCGGCTCGGATCGGATCGGAGTTCGGTACCTTTTCGGTGATCGGAATTCGGACCAAATTTCATAAAAAAATTATTTGAGTGAGAAAAAAATGATGATTAAATTTTTTTTCGAAAAATACATTCAATTTTTTAAACAAAAATGTTTGATTTATTTTTTTGAAAAAAAATGTTTCATTTTCCTATACAAAATATATGTAAACCGATGTGAACAAAAAAACACGGTGAGAAAATAAAAATCCAATAGATGGCACCATAGAAGTTTATTCGAATTTTGTTTCAACAGAACTGTCAATATTGAGTCTTTATTATTTGTTGCTAACTCATAGAGTATAGTCGCAATATTAATTATAATTGTTATAAACTCCCGAACAGAAATATTTGAACATTAAAAGTACAAAACAAACAACAAAACAAAACAACCATGGAGTACGGTGCAAACGAACAGTATTCTTTACGTTGGAAACATTTCAACGAAAATATTTCAAGTGGTTTGTATCAATCACAGCGGCAAGGTGATTTTGTCGATATAACATTAGCCGTCGAAGGGCACACGATGCAAGTACATCGTTTGGTTATGTCAGTATGTTCGCCATACTTTCAAAAAATGTTGACAATAATGCCGGCCAATTATCATCCATTCGGTAGGTGTTTAGTAACTTTAGCTGTTTACTGTTTAGAAATTCTAAAATTCGTTTCAACATTTTCATTGTTTATTTCATTCTAAAAATCAGTACTTCTGAAGGATGTATCATACGGTGTGCTCGAAAAATTGATTGAATTCATATACAACGGTGAGGTTACTGTGGATAAAGAAATTTTGGCTGAATTCATGAGCACAGGTGAAGCGCTACAGATCAAAGGTCTTGTAGACAATGATGATTGGCAGCGTCATGTTGATACGTCGACAAAAAATGTTCAAAAGCAACAGTCGTCCACAGTGCAACAACAACAACAACAAAACGCCAATATCATGAGAAATAGTGCGTCACAGTTGACACGATCGCCAATGACTTCAAACCAAACTTTCATACCAACCAGAGCTGCTCCAACATCAAGAAATGTTGACCAACTCCAACATTGTCGCGCCTTGCAACAACGAAACGCTGATCTTATGGCAAAACATGCATCGTATTTGGCACAGTCGACTAAATGTGAACAGTTCGAACTGACAAACAAATACAAAACAGACGGTACAACAATTCTAAAAACGTGTGCATGGTTTTAGAATTTTGTGCATTACATATTGTGAACCGTTCACTATAGTACCATATGCTTTGTATAGTATAGAGTTTATAGTGCATGCTAGTCTTTTTAGTAGAGCTTATCCAACTAATTTTGGTATATTTTTTTCAGATTAAATACAACGTCGAAAAACTGTTTAACGAAGAAAAGCTAAAATTGATAACACAAATTAAGGTTGCTCTGGAAATATCCATTATATGTATCGCCGTTGATATGTGGCAAGACGATGTGAACAAAATTCACTATTTGGGAATGAATGCTCATTATTTGCAACGCGACGCTAAAAATAAATTGATTCTTGTCTCAAAAGTGATGGCGCTTAGATCATTCGATGCTGAAGAACGCAAGACATCCAACAACATCAATAGAGCGGTCTTGGCTATTATTCACGAATACGAGTTACATTCAAATCTCGATTCAATCGTTTTCATTACCCAATGGGTACACGATGATAATTTCTCAAATCTGATGGTTGATTTGAATTGTACATATTTTGTACATTGAACGACGTATACACTGGAGGTGTACGAAATTTAAAAAAAAAAATCCGTAAATCGAACTTTTTTGATTTTTGAACTTTTGGCTCCAGATAGTGACCCGATGAAAATTTTTCAAATCTGATGGGTGATTTGAATTGTACATATTTTGTACATTTTAACGACGTATAACTTTGGTGTTGTACAAATTCGGGTAAACATTTTCCGGGTTTTGATATTTTCAATTTTTAAAAATCCAAATTCTGAAATTTTTTTGTTGGTACATAATCATAAAAATTGTTGTACATAATTGTACATAATTAGTACATTTTAGTAGTATATACGATTTTTCGAAAATTGACATCGACCGGAAATTGACTACCTATCCACATATACTAAATATGATAGCATTATAAATAATTTAAGCAAACATTTTAGTTTGATAAACAAAGCATTTCTGCCAAAGGCAAACCATGCGAAACTGAAAACTGCATCCAAATGCGTGCTTGACTTGCTTGTCCATTTGAATGATGTTTGCACTTCAGTTGATTACATTTGTAATTTGCGTTAGATTATAACTCTTTAAATCATGGCTCACTATTTATAGCTGCAATATTTTTTTCGAAAACGCCGCATACTTTCCCAAGATAGATAATTTCTTTTGAGTTTTTTTCTTGGTTTTCTTTTGAAAATAAGCACATTACTCTCGCTTGCGCTAGTGAAGATGCTTTGAGCAGAAAAATAGTACTCTTCTGTGCGTCAATCGAATATTAGAGAAATAATGGTGTATTGTGGCTAGAAAATGATGGACGGTGTCAAATTCTGACAATCACATCCATTTTATGTATGTCATTTGAGTCCCCAAAATGACTGATAGCAACCCACTTTTCACAATGTTCATCAGTGTTTTTGATGATACATCAAACCAAATAAATGAAGAACAAAGAAAACGTGAGATAGGTGTCATATGCAGTATGGTGCATGTAACTCGCCTCTATCAAGACTTAAGTACATGTCTATGTGCAAAAAATAAAATTACTTGCTTCATTGTGCTATTATGCGAGCGGTACGATTGAAAGGCTTCCCAACTATTGGGTTGATATATCGTACAAGCAATCGGCAATTCTCTAGTTTTTCATTGACGTCATTTCGGTTGTTTATTTGCTACTTCAATTACATAGAAAACGACGATGGGAAATGCACATCAGAAGCAATAGCAACAAAAACACAACCAAGAAAATCAGCAAAAACACTCAAGATGAAAACTTTGCTCGTATTCTATCTCATGCTGGTGTTTATGTTTTAATCACGAGTTTTTGTTTGTCCATAAAGTAACAGAAGTGCAGAGTTACACAAAATGCCACTTTTGACCGTACAAACAGCAATCGTAATATTTCAAGTGTGTTTTGTGCCATCGCTTGCACGACATAAGAGCGTGTAATAATATTTTAGTCATTTGCTTTTGAGCACCAGTACGAGAGAGAGCGGGAGCAAAAGACTATAGTGTGCAGCATTACACAAAAAACAGAACGACAAATATCTCCACAGTGAGAAATCTAAATATTGCGATGTAACGATACATTTAAGGGATGTAGTTGCATGTTCTCTCTCTTTCTCTCTCTAAGTTTCTAGATTGAACAAACTACTGGCAACTAAGAAAGTGTAAGTTTATCGAGTGAAAATGTCTGTAATAATTGTGGTAAACACGAAGAAAATTATTGCATTTGAACTATGCTTTTTACCGTGTTTGATGGCCTTGTATTGATATCAGTCGGTCGAGATGCAATTCCCTTCGGGATGTTAAATGACTTCGTTCTGTTTTTATTATCGTAACAAACGGAGTCTGAACACGTAAAAGAACACTCAACGCTTACCATGACGTGTTCGAATTGAAGAAATTGCGTATTAAATGAAAACCATCGGAACAGATTTTTTCGTCGTGTTTCTCCTTATTTCAGCATGACTGAAATCATTTGTAAATGGGTTTATGTTATATCGAAAGACATTTTTGCTTCGTAAGTTACGAACTACACAGACTGGGGCGACACATTTTTTTCTGTCATTCGTTTGAATCAAATATACCAAACTTTTTGCGTCTACTGTGTTTCCTTATTTATTGTCAAAGGCGCTATGGTTGAATCGGTCGAAAACATAAGATACAGTCGAAAAGGGTGTGCAATAATTTGAAAATTTACATTATACTAACGATCCCAATGGTCGTTTCGCAAAGTGTCAGAGAAAAAAACGTGATACAAGGAGTTACATATTCGTTACTATGGTTTTATCACAGTTCACCAGTTGTGAATCACAACCAATTCCACATAAATATGTATATTAGATGCATTTTTATTTTTTTAGGCCAACGCCAAAAATGCAATAAAAGCAAGTCTCGTGTCGCTGCCATTCAAGCGTATCCAAAGCGAGCCATAAACAATCAGTACAAATAACAAAACGAACCATTTGTTCATGAATTTTATCTTTGGGCCATTTTTTTCATACTCGCATGAATTTTCAAAGAAAATTGAGACTAAGAAAAGCTTTACATGACACTTTTGACATCAGAAACGTTGACGTCAGAATAAGATTTCATATTCCTTTTTCTCTCTCTGTCTGACAATTTTCGTAGCGACGATTTCACATTGTGCAAAATTTCGAGTTTGAAATGAATCGTTATTATGCTTATTTTGTTTCGTAACAATGTGCAATTTAATAACTTAAATTGGCCTTTACAAAACTTTTAAAATGGAAATGTAACAAAATTCTGGAAGAAGAAGAAGTTTTTTTATTTCATTTCATGCTTTTTTCTGTTTCTTGCTCATTCTCGCCAGGAACGGTGAAAAACTACTGGAAACTAGAAAATGGTCGTCACAAGCAAACGCGTACAATTAAATATTCTCTTCTGTTTTTCACCATTTTCATGGTTACTTACGTTCCCCATGCAGAGAATACAGAGGGTAAAAAGGCGAGCAAAAGCGAGCATCCATCCCATCTTTTGCCACTAATTGCATTTAGCGGTTATCCGGGATAAGCAAGTTGTGCGCAAATTTGATAAAATTCTATTTCAGTTCGAATTAAAGTTTTTTTCTCTTAATTTCTTCGATGGTACGCTGCTCAAACACACTGTGTGCATCTACCACTGGACCACATTCATGCGAACCAAAACATCAAATTCACTGACTATGTAAATTGGATTTAATCTCTTTTTTATGGCAACTTTTTATCCCAACGATTCTTGCTATTCCAAGAATTTTGGATTGACTTAAAATTAAAATGCTAAGTAGTAAACAAATTGCCCCATTTATAAATTATTACCATAAATTTCCATAGCAAAAATATTGTGAAATGTTTTCTATTCGCATACTCTACGGTCCCAAATCAAATCGCGTTCAAAATGTTATTGTTATCGAAGCCTATCCGCGTTGGTGTACGGTTCATAAATTTTCAACAGAGTCTTCCATTTCGATGATTTATTATTTATTGATGTGTACACATCGAAATATTCGTGAATTTTGACGATACCAAGCACCGAATAAAATGAATTTGATTAAAAAGTTTTATGGTTATTTTATTTACATATTTGATCATCGTTGTTAGAAATCGTTCGCTGTGCGTAGCATCAGAAGTGCTGGAAAAGCCGCATTCACACGACCTTAACCGGCAATTGTGCATTTTTTATTCGACGCAAAATGAAAGAGAGGGCATGAGAGAGAGAGAGAGAGAGAGGGACAAAGACCACAAGTGTTGCACATGCTACTGACATACGAACGACACAAAAGACGTCTTTATCGATGTTATTAAGAGTGGCTGTATAATCATCATTGAACAAATGAACTAATTTTATTCGCAACTGGTGCTTTTCTCTGTCATTTGCCGAAAACATTTTGACTCGGTGGCCCACGTTCATCATTATACATCATGTTCATTCAGCCCATCAACACTGAAATTGTTTATGTATTCTACTAAGTGTATATAAATTGCAAATCATAATCCGATTGGTACGAAACAGTCTGATAGCAATTAAGAACCCGTGAAAAGGAACAACCGCCACAAACAGATACGAATAATCATCGGGCCATCAAAGGTGGAGTGAAAAAAAGAGCAACAACTTCGTCTGTCTGAAGAATATAATACATTTATTTACATCAAAAGAGAATTTCATTTGTTATATTTCGTTGTGATGCATACAGGATGGCTAGGCCATGGCATCCAAAAGAACAATGTTCATTTTCATTGTTAGTATAAAGACATGCACACAAATCAAGCAACCGAATTAAATTACCAAATATAAAAGGCAATGGAATGAACATTGGCCAAAGCATATTTGTCGACAATTAAGTTATGAGAACTTATTACGACCATACGGTACACGCACTGGAAAGAGAGCACCAACCAAAAATCGTGAAATCCAGCATTGTAAACGGGAGAATAAAAGACCAGACCAATATAATCTACAAACAAAAGAGAATAGAAAAAGAAAGAAAAGATAGAGAGAGACTGAGAGAGCAAA